CACACGTGTGATTCAATCAAGGAGGTTATGCGGCCGCTTCAGGCGGACATGGACCCCGGGTATTAGAAATGGTCAAGGAAGCATACCGCTTCGTATTTTTTAGGCACGACATTTAACAGGATATTTCTGCCTCTGTGAGGAAACATCAGGAAATTTTGACTAAGAAAGTTGTACTAACCCCTATCATCTCGGAACAGTGGCGACGCTCATATGAGCAGACTTAATTTTTGAGACCCCCTTAGGTTGCAGGCACCATGAGCTCCCGTGACATCAAACCCTTTTGGAGAATAAATGTAAGGTGAAGTAGTTGAGTTCATCATAGAAGCCCTCTCTCCATTACGCAACATAAATTTTTTCCATTGATTTGATCCATCGAGTCTGAGTTGGAAATAGTAGGGAAGAAGCAAAAATAATGATGAGAGAAGGGATGTCCTCATTAAACGCACACCACTTACGCTTGCACGCAACGATATTCTATACAACTCCACAGAAATAAGGATTTCACCTTTCTCACAGTCGTCATTTTACGATGCCCTTCCCGGAAAATCAAACAAACTAGTGCATCAGTTTGCTCATGCTCCATTTGTGATTTAGCTAGATGAACTCAGAGATGGCTAAAATTTCCAGAAGAAGAATAAGTCAATGTTTACTAATTCCACTGATCTACCACTAAATCTTGAAATTGTGCTATTTACTGTCCGGAGGTAACACCAGCGGCTAAAATTGTGAAGCGTCAATGTAGACGATCGCAACTCGTCTAGAAGAAAAGTTTCAAGCCCTGAGAAGCCAGTCGAGTACTTCCACTCTCATATGGGATGGAAGATGTGAACCGCAGACAGGCTATCACGGCGCAGTGAAGCCCGACCGGCGTGATGGCACACCAATCTACACTTTGACGGCCCTTACTCTTCCCCCTTTGGTGGAACCTTAAATTTCATCATGTAATCGAATTATGTGAGCCATCAAAATCCACTGTTACGGTAAATTTCGGCCCTTGGGCAACCCGACAGAAAATTGAGTGCTTACTGAATGCTGACTGCTCCACAAACACAGACTGAACCAAGGTGTTTGACAAGGGTCTTACAAGAATATCGCACCAGGGACTCGATCTTTTACAAGTGACATCCTCTAGGAAGGTCTGCGTCTCATTTGCTTCCTCGACGTCTGCTCTCTTGCCCCGGCGCCAATGTTTCATAGCCGTTTGCTCGTACAGTGCCAAAATGAGCTGACCATAAAAAAAGAAAAACCCAAGTCCGCTGTCACATACTGCGAATGCGTAGCGTTTCATTCGTAGTTGGAGGGTATAGTTGATGCGCACTGATCATGTCTGATCAGAAACTATTCACTTCATTATGTCTTTCGTCTTCACTATGTTGTGATTAGGTCCAAGGCTCAGCGATCGTTGCAAAAGCCAGTTTCAGTGCAGAAGAAGCGAAGTCTGGGTTCAGCTTGTTACTATGTATCACCTAATGTTTTTCTGATGTTTTCGTTTGATATGTGTTAGCTACACTTGGGCCCAACATTGATGCTTCATCAATCTACCAATTTATTTCTACATAACTATTGAAAAGTACGGTCGTGACAATCCTATGAGGTGGTGCGATTTGGTGCACCTATCTAGTCCCTTTTTCGTCCCAGCGGCAAGTTATTCTCGAGTCTCGGTATTATATGTTCCTTCACAAGCTTTTTTGACTTAACAACACACGGCACAGAAACAAAACATATGTGTATACATATAAACACAGTCAACTACCAGGTAAGCACCACTGGGCCAGCGGTAGGGTCTGTGTTTAGGTTAATGAGATGCAACCTGCATCCGCCCTACATGCTGCGGTTCCAGGCTTGGTTATCTTACTTGGTAGTTGACTCTGTTATGATTCATGTTTTGATAGTGAAGTTTCTCATTGATCCCTCGCGAACAAAAATATATGTATATGTATCCTGCTGCCCTAATTATGACGTGGATCCTACTATACTGATTCTTCGCCACCTCATCTAGGAAATCCAATACATCCAATATATTTATCCGGCTTTCTTAGTGTAAATGTGGTCCCAAGTGTAGCTGATTAAACTTCACTGCCTTTCATACGTGTTCCGTGTTTTTATTGTGCGCACCTTTGAGTGTAGTTCAAATAAATAAATAAATAAATAAAATAAATAATTATCTCTTCCGCGGTGAAAATATGACCGCAGCCTCATCATATCATGGGGCACATTTGCTGGCACTCAAATTTTTCGTTGGATCGCAGAGTTCCTACAATTCTTCCTTGAGCCCATTCGCCACGTTTGAAAGATGGAACGGGCTTTCCGCGCAGAAACCCCTCACCAGATTGGCGCTTCAACAGGCGACCAAAACGAATGTGAATGCTCAAGTTTGACTTACAATGAAAAAGGAAGCAACGGAAACCGCTGAAGAAGCACTTAACGAAACTTCCTCATTGGGATGAAAAAGAGGGGTGTATGAGCGAGTTTTCTAAATTCGCTTTCTCCGTAGCTCCACTTGTCCGCGCGTGTTTGGATAAACCGCCTCTTCATGATCCACGCGGCGTATCCGGAGTGTGAGCGATGAATAGTCCATCAGCTCACATTTCCAATCATTAAAGCCACGAGTCAGGATTAGGGAACATTAGGAAGTCCTTTATAGGGTGCAAAAGTGGGGTCTCCAAGCAGAGGGGGTGTGAGGCTGTCGCGACAAAGAAGTGCGCGGCAAAGGCGCTAGGGCCTTGCATTGTGTGCTGCCGTGCTGCGAGAATTTCCCGGCAGCACGGATCGCCCACCGCGGGATGTGGTGCGTGGCTGGCCTAACGTGTGAGATCAGCTAGGTTGATTGCCGTATCAACCGATGGAACGGCTGGCATATCCGGAAAACTCGTTTGGACGTGACTCTCCCCCGAGCAAGCCTCCTTCACTGCTAGAAGGGAAGGGGTTTCGATTTCGGTGTTGTCGACTTTTTTTGTTTTTTCTTCACTATCGTTCCACCTCCCATCTCTACACTCAATATCAGGCGCCATAATGCCAAACACGAGCCTGACTTTTGCCTTTAAAGCTTGATTAGGCCATCACACTGTCGGAGCACTTCTCGAGATCACAGCAGTTCGGTGTGACACTCCTGAAGCAGCTTCTATACTACTCAGCAAGACAAATTGTCTGCACACGGGGTTGTTGCATTAATGCAAGATTCCTTACCATTTAGTTCCACAATTTTCAAGTACAAAGAAGCTTCAGCTTTTTCCCGTAATCATTGCAACTGTATTTGCTTTAGATTCATCAGGTGCTTCAGATGAAAGGCTGCTTGGAACAAAGAAAAAAATGATGTAGGCAAGGACGTAGATAGATTGCAGAGCGAAGACACTTGGTGCGGAAAAAATTTGATATAGGTAGGCAAGAACACAAATGATGAAAGTGCATGATAGAACTTAAGTTGTAAACTATGTAAAAAAAAGTAGCACACCACCACACCCAAAATGAAAGACTTAGATTGTGGCGAAACAGAAGACCGGGCAATCACTCGATGTTTGTGAAAGTGACAAAAAGTGAAGGAATGCACTTGTTGATCGCAGAGGATATATTGTATGTACAAGCACTTTCCAACGGAAGAAATCGCAACTGACCTCCATTGCCTTCACACGAGAGTCATATTCAGCTGGAAGTTTCTCCAAAATAAGGTATGAATCCTATAAAAAGCAAAAGCAAGTGAAAAAACACAGAAGTCAGCGCTAAAACTACTCACTTTATTGACTCCTACGAGATCTCCAGGCTTCAATTCAGATGGTTCGACTAGTCCAACGACAGGGAGGAAATATGTGGCTCTTGTTGATGTTTTTATGACGGCACATTTTGTCTTGTGCGCATCCAAGTCAACATTTGCGCCTGAATTCAATAATAAACATTTGCATATGAAAGAGAAAAGAATGCCATGTGCAAAAATGCAATTGCTAGCTCCAACAGTCAAGAAACCCTTTTTGGAAATTTTCGAACACATCAAAAAAATTTCCAGAAATCAATACTGTTTCAATAGCTGAGTTATCAAATCAAAATACCTTCTTCCTCTTGATTGTCCTCCAAGTCTAAAAGCTCCACAACGTTTGAAACAAGATATGGAAGCGTTTTGTTAACCTGACCGAAGAGTAATTAGCAAATATAACGAAAAAAAATCTGGTGACCTACTTTGATTCTCTCATTGTTGTCCTTTATACGTTCTTTCAACATCGAAACTGAATGATTGATTCGTTGCACTTCACTTCTCATAATACGAATTTCATTATCTAGCAGATGCGTCCGGCTTTTCAAGTCTTCGGGAGCCATGCGGAGAATCTCTTCGTCCAATGCCTAATAACGAAACATAAAACACATAAACGAAACATAACACCTTCAAGAGAATTCGAAGAGCTATCGCATGATACGGGAGCACGCGGCGGAAACGCATTGGAAACCACGTCAATACCCTTATGTTGACAATGGGATCAAGCTTTGTGCCTGGCTGTGGGACTACACGCAAGCAATTTTACTTTCCTTGAGAGTTCCTGCTCCCTCCTAAGCTCAGTCCTAGGATATTGATTGATATGAGGTCTGCGGATTTGAAGGTCGTCGCTGCACTTGATGGAAGCTGTGTTCTAATATACTCCGCCGGATATCAGCAAAGCATGCTGGAAGCAGCTTATCCGCGCAACTTCTATCAAGTGCGGCGGCCGCCACGTCAAATCCATAGACACGCCTAATCAGACTTCGAGATATGGAGTATATGTATACTCGATATCGAGAGTTGGGGTAGGCGTGTCACCGGAAGTGACGTGCACTTGATAGAAACTATGTGGATAAGCTGCTTCCAACATACATCGCTGGATATCAGCAAAGCATGCTGGCAACAGCTTATCCACGCAACTTCTATCAAGTGCACGTCACTTCCGGTGACACGCCTACCCCAACTTCTCGGATATCGACTGTATGTCTATATGCATGTCGGTCGATCTGTTTATTTGTCCGACGCAAAATGAAATGAAAATTCAGCCAATGGAAGGAACTAAGCGCCCCAGGTAGAACCATAAACGAACAGGGGAGAAGCAGGGAGAGAAAAAAGAACACTCTGTTCTTTTTTCTCTCCCTGCTAGACGTTAATAAAACTTAGGTTAAGAGCAGTGTTGAGGCATCACAAGCGTGATGTGATGATTTCATGAAGATTCTCCGACTGCGATATGCCTGAGGGGAAAGGAGGGGAAGACGGGAGATGAGACAGCGAAACAAACCGCCACCGATCCTAGGTTCGAATTAGCGTTCAGGTTCTATTCTAACGTGACGTCATTATTAGGTTTTGCATAGCTTGTCCTCACGTTGTGTTGACCTCACAAGCGGAAGAAACCCCAGCGCAAGGCATGAAGCATTCACAAAAAAGGAAGTTCCCACGGTTACCAGCGGAAGATCCTTGTTCCCGCAATAAAGCGGAAGTGGTGTAATAGCAAGATGTGCCATTTACCACGCTCACGATTCTGGGGTAGGATATTGAATGATGCATCCCAAGTCAATTGAGCCATCCCCACTATGCCTGAATTACGCCGAACACCATGAACTTGCCCCACCCCACCCCTCCTCTTCCTTCACGCTGTTTTCGATGGACGTAGATCCGTCGATGCCAAAAAGTTGGGGGGGGGGGACCACGCGGTAGCGCCGTCTCTCAAACGCGATAGCACTCAGAACGTAGGAAGGAGTGAGTAAGCCGTGAACATTATGATCTGTTATTTCGCAGATCCAACTTTAGTCACATTTGAACCTCCTTCTGGACTCAAGCTTCCCTCCAGTCTTCCATTTGCGCCGTACGCCTACCCGAGCAAAACCAAGTTGGAAAAGATGCCAGCACTTCCCTACGAGGCACGAGGTAGCAAAACTTATATTAGCCAGACAACCTTACCTCTTCCACTTCCATCTTCTCTGGTGCTCCTCCAACATCTCCCTTTGCAGCAGTCTTCTGTGTATCAGACATTGCGACCGAAAAGCGAATGAAAATTAGCTCATAGATGGTATGACCATTGAGAGCAACTCGAGAATATCTCGCATGCAAAAATTATGAAGTTCAAACTCGAGGATTTCCTTCCATTCGAAAGTAGCAAAGTCAATGTACCAAAAGAAAGCTAATCTTGCCAAAAAGAGAAGTTGAAGGATTGAAAACGAATAAGAAGAACAAAAATCCAAGCTGTTTAGAATTTTGGCGACCGATGGCGATGACAAAACTTGAGCGGTGCAATCACACATAAAATGCATTACAGTATCTTGAAAATGTTTTTCTCAGGATTCCGGAGAATGGTTGACACAATCATTTTGTGAAAATGGATTTGTTTTGCTTGTCGGTCGTACTCATTGAAACAACAACAGT